AACAAAAGTATCATTTGTAAAATCTCTAAAATATATAAAAGTAATATATCTTAGTTAGAAATCAAAAAGTTAATTAATAAAATAAATAAAATAACTTAATAAATAATGAATAAATTAATGAATTAAATAATAATAAGACAAAATAATAATTTAAATATAATAATGTTATAAATTTAATGATCTTTATTAATAATATCTTATTTATTATCATACATTTCTTATATTATGATCCCAGATCTCATTCTAGCTGACCATGTCATGAACACTTCCTTGTTATTTATTTTTAATCTCGTTATAATCATAATCTAATGTCTATTACATTATATCTTTAATTATATTAGTCTTTCTCACTCATAATTCATAATATCTTTATTATATATTATTTTAGGCAAATATTATATATAAAACTATTAATCTATCACAAAATAATCTTTTCAAGAGGTACCAAAAATGATAACAATATTTTAAGATATAATAATAAAAATTAAATATAAAATTTATCATTTAAATCATTAAAATTTAAAAAATCAAATATATAATAATTTATATATATCTTTTGATTAATAATATATTATTTTTTTAGTATTATATATATTATAATAAAAATAAGAAGATAAATTTCTAACTAAATTTAATAATTAATTACAAAATTATTTATATATTATATATTTTCAATTATATTTAATATTTTATATATTCTTTTATATCATTTTTAACTTGTTCTATAATTATTTTATTAATTAAAAATAATTTAAAAATTTATTTTATATATATATTTATTTTATTTATAAATTTTTTATAAAATTCAGATTAATAATATGAAAGAATAAATAACTAATTAATAAATCTTTTCAATAATTATAATAAGTTATTATAATTTTAATTCAAATTATATTTAATAATAATATATTATAATAATTACAAAATAATTTGACTATAAATATAAATATTATAAATATATAATTAATATAATTATTAAGAAAAATCAAATAATAAAAGTATTAATCTTTAAAAATAATCAAGATCTAATTGATTAGCTAAAAGAGAATATATAATAATAAATAAAATAATAACTAATAAAAAAATAACTATAATATTAATTTTATCTTAAATATTTAATATTAATATGATAAATAAATAATAAATCAAGTATTAAATAATGATTATAATAATAAAATAAACTATCTGAACTGGAAATGATAATCATGCCTGTGTAATAAATTTTTTATAAGTATTTTAATCAGAAATATTATTAAAAAAAAGATAATAAAGATTAAACAAAAGAATAGATACTTATACAAGTGCTTTACAAGAATTATATTAAAGAATTGAAACAAATAATTTTCAATATTTGGAAGCAATAAAAGCAAGAAGATTTGTAAATAAATTATTATACTTAATGATCAAGTTCCATAATAACTAAACTTGAAATACTATACTTTGATAAAGCAACTGAATTATCGAAAAGCAGTATTAGCATATATGAATAAATTCTTATCAGTGTAGTTAATAATCAAACACCCATAATAATTTATCTTTATACTAGCTTTATATACATGTTGGATTTTCAGGAAGTTGGATTATCAGGATGTATGGGATTGTCGATAGATAATGGGATGCTGAAATTTCGGAAATGTGGTTGTTGTGATGTGACTGGCACAATAATTCTAATGTCTCACATTTCATTGGAAAAATGCACCCACATATACACGACCGATAAAAAGGATATTTGGTCCGGGGAATCACATACAGGTAGTCTTAGCTTCGGTTCATCTAGCAAAATTATCAAATGAAAAAAGAAAACTGTCATCTTTTTGATACAAAGATTATCACATTAGTGTCACGCGCTACCATTAAACATTCGAGGTCCCATTGTGAACTGGAGAGCTCAGCAGTATCCATCACACAAAAACAAATTGGAAATTTGAAGATAAACCTGCGTCTTTTTAAATCATTATTATACCATGGATCTGTATTGGACTAATTTTATTATCATAATTACAATCCATTTGACCATTACCGTACAGTTTATATGTATACTCTGTGGAAATATCAATTCCCTCATAATAATAATAATATGATAATTAGAAAAGACCAGAAAAAAATGATTACAACTAACTTCATCATCACTATCCACATCCATTAACACCTCAAGCGC